AAGAGACTAAAACAGGAGGAATAAAATGTATAGAGATACCTCATTTCTCATTAATTATTATTCAAAATGAAATGTAATGCCAGGAGCTATAGGGTGCCAGAAGTAGAAGAAGGAAATATATCATGTATTTAAAAACCCTTACAGAGTATAATAATAATTAAGAAATTATTACACTACTGATCTTTTAGAAGTAGTGTAGCCACCTGTTCGCGCCTTTATTAATTACCAATTTTATTCTTCCTTAACACTGCACAGCAAAGATTATTAAAGGGAAGAATACAAAAATGGAGATACTGAGAAATAATTTATATCATGTAGCAAAAGTATATTAAAATACATCATTTTAATTTAGACTTTCACTAGTAAAGAATGTCATATTTTAGGTCTGATTTGTAGCAACATATAATTTGACTTAAAAGAATAGCAATGGATATTAATAATTATTATTGCTGATATTAGTAATTTGCTGTAAAATGGACTCTAAGATATTCTTTTTTCTACTCTGAGCAGCAAGCAATCATTACCATAAAAGTGTGTTTACTGAGCCAGCCCTGATGGGCTAGTGGTTAAAGTTCAGCCCACTCTGCTTTGGCAGCCCGGGTTTGGTTCCCAGGCACAGAACCACACCACTCATCTGTCAGGAGGCATACTGTGGCAGTGGCTCACATGGAACAACTAGATGTACCTACAACTAGAATATACAACTACCTAGTGGGGCCTTGGGGAGGGAAAAAAAAAAAGAGGAAGATTGGCAACAGATGATAGCTCAGGGTGAATCATTTCCAGCAAAAAATAAACAGAATAGCAAGTATAGGGGCTAATCACATAGAGAAAAAGAAGGTATTGTTTCATAAAAGAAGTATACACATATATACGTAGTCTACATGTATCTATAAAGACTAATCGAAACATAGATGAATGTATACACGTTTATCTGCATATTCACGTGGTATGGACACATACGTGTCTATACGCACATAAAAGCTACATATGCGTTATAGATATAGATACAGGACAGCCGCAGAGGGCAGAGACATACAATGCATTTCTCACTAGGAAGGAAGATTAAAAAGTGAAAATCCCTGCACTCGACCACACAATACAAGGTCATCGCAGACCCGGGAAGCCCCTGCAGATGCTCAGCCATTTCAGGACAAATGAAATCCAGAAAAGGAACGGTTCACGGTGTTGGGCTGGCTGGTGAGACCCCACGGGAAGGGGGGCTTCTTCTCTGACCTCCCCCACAGCCCTGGGCATGGCAGCCCCCATCCAGCACCTCCCCTGGGACGGCAGCCCTTCTCGGCCAGGGTGGACGAGGACCCTCCTGAGGGAGGCCGGAGGGGGCACCCCCGGCCCCAGAACACAGGGTCCCACAGAACCCCCCCGGCGCCCCTGCTGTGCGTTCTGGGGGACCCCCGGCAGGGCTGTCAGCGGAGCGCTCCCCCACGTCCCCATCCTCAGACAACCAGGGGAGTCAGACCTGAGAGTGAGGGGCGCAGATTCAGGCGGGCAGAGGGCTAGAGGCCCAGGCCGGGCAGAGTAGGGTGAGGAGAGGAGGGCGGGGCCGAGGGAACGTCCAGACCACTCTCACCCCTGCTGTCAGCACTGGAAGACCCCGGGCCATGGTGTCCGGATGTGACGTCCACTGGCTTCCGCCTCCGAGGTCTGAGGGAGCCGAGGGCCTCGCGGTGGCAGGCCGGATCCGGGGCGGCAGAGGGAAGGAGCCCAGGCCCGGCCAGGCGTCCAGGTAGCCTCGGGAGGGAGGACTCCGGGCGCCACGGCGTCCACGTCTGCCCCTGCCATCTGCCCTGAGGGACCCCGGGGGACGGGGAGGGGGCAGGGTGGTCAGGCGGAGCCCCCCCGGCCCCCACCTCGTCCTCAGAGGAGCCTGCTGGGGAGTCCTGGGTCTGCGGGGAGCGGCCTCAGGGGGCAGAGGCCGGGGCCCAGGCCCTGCTGGGAGCTCAGGAGACGAGCAGAGGGAGGGCCGAGGAGCCCCAGGCAATCCCTGTCGGCCCCTGCCATCAGCCCTGGGCGTCCCCGTGCTTAGTGGCCTGAGGTGACCTCCACAGACTTCCCCCAGGGCTCTCCGGCCAGTGAGGGCCTCGGATCCACAGAGGGAGGATCCCAGGACCTGCCAGGGCTCAAGGGGAGGACCCTGAGGGAGGACAGAGGGGGCCCCACAGAAACACGGCCCTGCTGGCAGCCCCGGGAGGCGCCAGGGCGCCATGAGCACAGGCCGCGTTTCCAACTTCCGCATCCGGGACTGAGAGAGACCGGGGACTTGGTCAAGGGAGCAGGGCCTGAGGGGGGCAGAGGGGACGGCCCAGGGCCTGCTGGAAGTCAGGGGGAGATGCTGAGGGAGGCCTGAGGGACCCTGGACCCCAGGACAGACAGGGATCCTGTGGCCCTGTGCTGGTCTGGGGAGGCCCCAGGGCAGGATGACCCGAGGAGGCGTTTGCTGCCTTCTGCCTCGGGGGTCTTAGGGAGGTGAGGAATGTGGCTTCAGGTCAGCAAAGGGTGGAGTCCCTAGACCCCCAGGGAGGACTGAGCAGACCCCCAGACCAGGCATAGGTGACCCCAACAGAAATCTGCCCCGTGGTCAGTCCCTGGAGGCCAGGCAGGATGTCAGGAGAGTGGCCTGTCCACTTCCTCCTCGGGGTCTCAGCGGGATGGTGGCCTTGGCCTGCAGGACACATCCTCAGGTTAGCAGAAGGGATGGATCCAGGCCTGGCCAGGAGTAAGTATGAATACCTTGAGGACACTGAGGGGACTCCCTCCCCAGCCAGAGGAGGACCTCACTGAAATCTGCCCTGCCCCCCATCACCCCTGCAGACCCCAGGCAGGGGTGGCCGCGGGTGGTGCATCCTCACTCACCTCTGCCTTGGGCTCTCTGAGAGGTGAGGCCTTGTTCTGAGGGACAGTGTCAGGTGAGCAGAGGCAGCCACATCTGGTCAGCAGAGGAAGGAGTCCCAGGATCTGCTAGGACGCAAGACAAGACCCTTTGGGAGGAACGGAGGGCATGGAGGTTCCCCCCACCTCAGTAGAGAAGGGACCTTACAGAGGCCAGCTTCCCCTGTTCTCAGTCCCGGGAGGCCTTGGGCAAGGATGGCTGGATGTACCCTGCTCTGACTTCTGCCACGTGGTTGGGGATGGGGCATCTCAGCGAGGTGAGGCCTTGGTCTGAGTGGGGACATCAGGTCAGCAGAGAGAGGAGTCCCAGGATCTGTGGGGTGTCAAGGTGAGGACCCTTCATGAGGACTGAATGTACCCCCCTCACCTCAGAAAAGTAAGGATGGCACAGACTCCTGCTATCCCCGGTTCTCAGCCCTGGAAGGAACAGTCGGCGGTGGTCCTCAATGGCATGCTCACTTCTACCATGGGCAGGAAGGTGGGGAGTCCTCAGGGAGGAGAGGTCTTGCTGTCGGGGGGAGATGTCAGCTATCCCAGGTAGGAGGCCGGGAAGAAGGGCAGGCCCTGGCAGGAGAAAAGATGGAAAACCTACAGGAGGTCTGAGGGAACCCCCACCCAGGACAGAAGGGCTGGTCCCCTCTGGCAGCCTTTTGTGATCCTGGTGGGGGATGCGGGGGGTGAGGGGTGGGCGTGGATGTGGTGCCTCCTCCCGTTTCTCTCAGAGCCTTCAGGCAGGTGAGGACCTTGGTCTTAGAGGACGATGTCAGGTCATCTGAGGAAGCACATCTGGTCAGCTGAGAGAAGAGTCCCAATTGTCGCCAAGAGTCAAACTGAGGACTCCGAGGGAGCAGTGAGTGTACCCCACTCCCCAGGACAAAGAGGGGACCCCTCAGAAATCTGGCCTGCCCCAATTGTCAGCCCTGGAAGCCCCCTGGCAGAGCCTGTCTGGCTGAGCCCCTCCTCACTTCCAGACCAGTGATCTCAGGAAGGCGAGGGCCTTGGTCTGGGGCTCTGGACTCACGTCAGCTGAGGCAGGGTCCCAGGCCCTGGCAGGGGTCACGGTGAGGACTGAGGGAACTCCCACCCACACACTCACCAGGACGCATGGAGCCCAGGCCTGCCCTACCCTTCTGTCTGCCATGGGGAGACCCGGGATCGGGGAGTGGATTGATTCCCCCTCACTTCTTCTTCCCGTAACTTCAGGAGACGAGGCCTTTGCCTAAGGAGGGTGGCCTCAGGTCAACAGAGGGTGTTGTCCCAAGCCCTGAGGCTGTCAAGGTGAAGACTGAGCGGACCGCCCATCCCAGGACAGATGGAACCCACAGAGTTTGGCCACCCCTTATTGTCCCTTGGTGCCTCCTGTTAGCCCCTGGGCAGGTGTGGCCTGATGTGGGGACCCCTCACTTCCTTCTGTTCAGTCTCAGGGGTGTGTGGTCTTGTTCTGAGAGTTTCGCCTCAGGGCGGCAGAGGGGTGGGGCCCAGGGGCTGCCAGGGGAAAGGTGAGGACCCTGAGTGAGCAAGGAGGGAACCACCCACCCCAGAACAGTGGGGACCTCACAGAGTCTGGCCCGCCCCTCCTGTCAGCACTGGGGGTCCAGGGCTCTGCTTGCAGTCTGCACCCTGAGGTGGCCCCTCGTTTCCTCTTACAGGGGCTCCAGGAACCCGCAGGTGAAGCCCTTGGTCTGAGGCTCGTGTTCTCAGGTCACAGAGCAGAGGAGGCCCAGGCAGCGCCAGGAGTCAAGGTGAGGTACACACCCTGAACGTGTACCCAGGGGCTCCCCCATTCCAGAACCGACGAGACCCCACAGTGCCCGAGCCCACCCCACCCCACTGTCATCCTCAGAACCTCGGGCTGTGATGGGTGCACCCTGAGGAGCCGTCTCACTTCCTCCTTCAGGTTCTTAGGGCACAGGCCGCCCAGGAGGACAGAGCACCCCTAAAGAGGAGACCTGTAAGTTGGCCTTTGTCAGAGCTGCCAAGGGTGCGTTTCTCAGCTGAGGCCTCTCACACTCCCTGTCTCCCCCAGGCCCATGGGTCCCCATTGGTCACCTCTTTCCCACGCTCCTGCCAGCTGCCATACATGCATTGTCATGCCTCTAGGTCAGATGAGTGAGCTCTGCAAGCGTGAGGAAGACTGTGAGGACCCAAGAGAGGCCCAGGGCCTGGTGGATGCACAGCTGTCTGGAGCTGAGGAGGAGGAGGCCACATCCCCCTCCTCCTCCCTCTCCTCTTCCCCCTCTGTCCTGTTCCTGGGCACGCTGGAGGAAGTGGCTGCTGCTGCAACCTCGAGTCCTCCCCAGAGTGCCTGGCCCTCCCGCACTGCCATGGCAGCCGCTCCATGGAGCCAATCCAAAGAAGAGGGCTCCAGCAACCAAGATGATGAGGGGCCAAGCGCCTGAGAGGACCCGGAAGATGCTGAGTCCTCACCCCAAGAAGCACTGCATTTGAAGATGGCTGACCCGGTGGGGTTACTGCTCCTCAAGTAGCGTACAAAGGAGCCTACCACAAAGGCGGAAATGCTGACTCTGGTCATCAGAGATTACCAGGATCACTTCCCTGTGATCTTCAGCCAAGCCTCTGAGTGCATGCAGCGGGTCTTTGGCATTGACGTGAAGGAAGTGGACCCCAGCGACCACTCCTATGTCCTGGTCACCACCCTGGGCCTCACCTACGAAGGGATGCTGAGCGGTGAGCAGAGCATGCCCAGGACCGGCCTCCTGGTGATGCTCCTGGGCATGATCCTCCTGGAGGGCGACTGCGCCCCTGAGGAGGACGTCTGGGAAGCGCTGAGTGTCATGGGGGTGTGTGCCGGGATGGAGCACTTCATCTACGGGGAGCCCAGGGAGCTCCTCACCAAAATTTGGGTGCAGGAACAGTACATGGAGTACCGGCAGGTACCCGACAGCGATCCTGCACACTACGAGTTCCTGTGGGGTCTCAGGGCCCACGCTGAAACCAGCAAGATGAAAGTCCTGGAGTATTTGCTCAGGGTCCATAGCAGGGATCCAGGTTCCTTCCTCCACCTGTCCGAAGAGGCTGTGAGGGATGAGGAAGAGGGATCTTGAGCCAGAGTTGCAGCCAGGCACAGTCCAGGCCCACGTCCAGCAGCTTCTCCTGGCGGGCATGAAGTGAGTCCGCTTCTTCACTCTGTGTTTCAAGAGAGAGCAGTCAGCGTCCTAAGTAGTGGAGGGCCAGGGCGAGGTGGGGGGACACGGTGCATAGCGTCTTTGGGTTTCTGTTCTCTATGATGGATCTTGGAGATGGATCTTGGTTTCCTTACCAATTTTTCAAATGGCTTCCCTATAATAGAAGGTTTAATTAGCTTCCACATCTAAGTTTGTTCATTAGCTTCCACATCGAAGTTTGTGAATGAGATTCATTACATATGAATTTGTACTTATCCAGTCCAAGAGGCAGAGTTTTGCTATTTTGTAAAATAATCGGGACACCTTCCATCGTAGTCTGTAACCGAACCCGGTGACATGGCCGTGGAAGAGGAATTTCCTTGGAAATGTGAAAGAACTTAGCAGTCAAATCGATGGGGTCAAGAAATTGACAAATAAATGTAGAAGGTACTTAATTCTCAGCTTCTTATCCTGTCTCTTCTGTCATTCTATCAAGCTAAAAGGTATGTGTATACCCGGATTAGCTTGGGTTATTCAAGAAAGTCGGACAAATTTCATCTGAGTAAATAAGACCCCTGCTCACTGGCTCGTTTCTTCCCCAGACTTTTGCTGAGCCTCTGCTCTCTGGAAGGCCCTGTGTTAGTAGTTGGGAAAGGAGGGTAAGCAGGATGCCCACACACACAGACTGAGAGTCTAGGAGCCACAGTACTAGAAGGAAGGTGGCGAGGTGTCCGCCCCAGAATAAGTCAAAGACGGTGAGTGGTTGTGTGGTCCCAGGCAGAGCACTCAAGTGTAAATGCCCTGAGCCAGGGCAGTGTGGGACTTTGGGAAACCGCGATTCCTTCTGTGGGTGTTGATGGTAATGAAGCTGGGTGGTAACATTGGCCAGACTCCCAGATGGCGTGTCTTAGGGCTGAGAGGAAAGTCTGAAGTGGAAAACTGATCTGAAAAGTTTCTTTTGGATCATAGGTAAACCAGAGAGAAATCTCCACCTGGGGCAGGAAGGGAAGGTGTCCTGGGCCCTTGTCACATTGCAGTCGAACAACAGTGAGGAACAAGGTGTTTAATACCCATCATCTGCAAGGATTTCCTGAGAAATAAGGTTATTGCTCCTTGAAGTGATGCCTGGAAGTCACTGAACAGGCGCCCTCCTCCCTGGCCTGGGAAATCCAGAA